AAAACCCTATATGGGGGGGGGCGGGCGGCCCCCTGGGGGGGGGGGGGTTGGGCGGTCTCAAAAAAAAAAAAAAAAAAAAAAAAAAAAAAATCTTCCTTTTTACAAGACAGATGTACTTCTTTATAGTTCTCTCCTGAACACAGAAGTCTTCAAGAACAAAAATATTTGTTATGAACTGAATGTTTTGTGTCTTCTCAAAATTCATATGTTGAAATCCTCACCCCCATTGTGATGGTATTAGGAAGTAGGAATTACTTTAAAGTTGCTTTTAAGTAGTAATTAGGTCATGAAGATAGAGCCTAGTGGTCTATGGGACCAGCACTCTTCTAAAAGAGAGGTCTCTTTTTCTTTCTGCAGTGTGTGAATACAAAGAGATGATGACTATTTGCTAAATAGGAAGCGTACCCTCACCAGGTACTGGATCTGTTGGCACCTTGATTACTAACTCCCCAACCTCCAGAACTGAGAAGCATAAATGTTTGTGGTTTAAGCCACTGAGTCTATAGTGCTTTGTTATATCAGCCTGAACTGACTAAGGTTGGAATTGGTACCAAACAGCAGGGGTGCTACTGTACCAAATAACTAAAAATGTGGAAGCGGCTTTGGAATTGGGAATGTGTAGAGGCTAGAAGAGTTCTAACGTACTACAAATATGGATGCTCAGGTGATTCTGGTGAGGGCTCAGAAAAAGAAAAAAAGAGAACTGTAGAGAAAGGGTCTGTCTTCTTAGAGAATATCAAAATAATCATGAACAGAATGTTGGTAAAAATATGGATGGTAAAAGCCATTCTGATGGACTTTCAGAGAGAAATGAGGAACATGTTATTGGAAACTATAGGATAGGCAATTCTTGCTACAAGGAGGCAAAGAATTTGGGTGAATAGTGTTTGTGTTCTAGTGTTTTGTGAAAGACAGAACTCTTGAGGAATGAAATTGGATATTTAAACAAGGCTATTTCTAAGTAAAGTATTGAAGAAGTCGCTTGGTTACTTCTGACTGCTTATAGTAAAACGTGAGAGGGAAAAATTAATTGAAAATGGAATTGTTAAGCAAACAGGAACAAGAACTTAAGAACTTGGAAATATCTCAGCTCATACATATTATAAAAACTGAGAAAGTGTGTTCAGAAGAGAACACTAAGGGTTGGCACACCAATCATTGATAAGGAGGTTAGTATGGGTGTGGACTATGGACTTCATCCACTACATCAACAAAATCCAGGAACAGAGATAGGATTCCAACAGCAGAAACACTGCCAGCTAAAACTAAAGAAAACAGAGAAATTGAGAAGAATGGAGAAACACTGTCAGACTATTTAAACCTTACATGACAAGATCTTAGAGCTTTTCAGCTGTGAACTTGGGCTATTTTTCAAGTCAAGGGAAATGGGATCTCAAAGGTGATTCAACAGGGCCCAGGGGCATGGTTAATTCCACAGCATTTTCAAAGTGTGGTATCAGTGCTTAGCAGAGGCATGGGGACAGGGTCATCCAATGTAGCCCTGGAGATTTGTGACCATGAACATGGATGGGGGTATGGCAGAAAGCTACACCAATGGGCAGTAACCTATCAAGCAATAAAGGTGATGTTGCCACCCCAGTGGGTCCTTAAGGCAAGACCTCTGCCTCAGTGGGCCTGAAAGGCAGGGTATCAAGTCAGAGAAGGATTATTCTTGAGATTTAAGGTTTAATGGAGTTTGCCTGTTAGGTTTTGGACTTACATGGGACCCATCACCACTTTCTTCTGCCCTCTTCCCCCTTTGGAATCAGAATGCCTACCTTATGCATGCCCCACAATTATATTATGGAAGCATATAACTTGCCTGATTTCACAAATTTGCAGCCAAAGAGGAATTTTGCCTCAAGATGAATTGTACCTTGAGTTTCATCATGTTTGCTTTAGATGATATTCAGATGAGAATTTGGACTTTAAACTAGTTAAGACTTTTGGGGCTGTTGGGATAGAATGAATATATTTTGTATCTGGGAAGGACATGAATTTCAGAAGGGCAGAAGCAGAATATTATGGAGTGAATATTTGTGTTCCCCAAAAATTCATATCTTGAGATCCTAACCCCCAACATGTTGGTATTAGGAGGTGATACCTTTGAGAAATAATTAGGTCATGAAGATGAAGCCCCCATAATGTGATTAGTGATCTTATAAAACATACATAGAGACCTCTCTTTCTCCTTCTACAGTGTGTAGATACAAGGAGAAAATGACCATCTGCTAAATAAGAAGCAGACCCTCACCAGACACTGGATCTGCTCACAACTTGCGCTTGGACTTTGCAGCCTCCAGACTGTAAAAAAAACAGATGATTGCTGTTTAAGTCATCCAGTCTATGGCATTCTGTCATAGGAGCCAGAACTGACTGAGACAGTATTAATGCCACTTTAAGGGACATTCAGATGAATCCAAACAGCAAGGTATGCATGCTTTCACAGCATTTCCTGAGATTTTACTATATGCAATTACTGTGTTGAGGCTACCACTGAATACTTGATCCATTTTTTAAAATAATTACTTACCATATGACATAAAATCTTAGGAATTATGTGTCTATTTCTCACTATGCCAACAGAGCAGAGCATTTTGGCTTTAAAGCCCACTTAATGTTTTTGTAGTTTGGTTCTTGTATTCTTGTATTCTAAGGTTCGACTCTTTAGTCGTGAAGATTTAAAGAAGTCTCATCTCTCTCTCTCTCTCTCTCTCTCTCTCTCTCTCTCTCTCTCTCTCTGTCTCTCCCCCCTCCCCCACCCCCCCCCACTCCCAATTCCCAACAGGGAAATGTAGCAGGGAATATAAGTATACAAGAAAATGAATGAGAACAAGTCTCAAAACATACTGCAGAATCAATGTATATGACAGAAAAATGGAAATTCTATCATGCCTCAGTAATGCTAGTAGAATCTACAGGTTTGAGTGAGAGAGAGTTGTCAGCAGGAGGCAGCTCCACGCGAAGTCTGGGCTTTGGGCAATTCCATAATTCATCTTACCCTAGGACTGACTCTGTTTTTTCCATTCACTCCATTTCAATCCCAGCAGACACAATTATCCTAATGAAAAAAGGACCTGCAGGGCCGAGCCCATGGCGCACTCGGGAGAGTGAGGCACTGGGAGCGCAGCAGAGCTCCCGCCGTGGGTTCGGATCCTATATAGAGATGACTGGTGTGCTCACAGCACTCACTGGCTGAGCGTGGTGTGGCCGGTCTCAAAAAAGGACAAAAAAAAAAAAGAAAAGAAAAAAGGACCTGCAAATTGCCAATGTTAAAGTCATCTTTTTCAAACACTCACTTTGTATACAAGGGCATAGATTTTAGAACAATTATAAAATTGATTAATGTCTATTATATTCTAGGCATGGTGAAGTTATTTTAATATGATTTAGATCATGATAATTTTTTTGAGGTTGTTTTTACACAACCTTTCATCTTTTTACAAGTTTTCTTTTATAAATGAAAAATTGAGATGTGTTAGCTTGAGTTACATGTCCAATATCACACCACAGGTTCAACACTGTTGCAAGAATTGATTTTTGTTCAAATCCTATGACATTTCCTCTATTATAATACTTACGGAAAGTCATTACATTTTCAAGCATCATATTCTATAACTAAATCACCATGCAGGTTTGATCAGAGAGTTTTCTGTTTGTTTTTGTTTTGTTTCTCTGACACACAGAAAAGAAACATTTCTTTTTCTCACCTGACAGCACTACTGCCCACATCGAGGTCTTGTGCGGTGACAGCACCAATGATGGTCCCTACTGGAGTGTCTTCATAAACCTCCATGGTGTAGAGCGGCTTGCTAAAGACGGGCGGCTCGTCCACGTCCAGCACGCTGATCTTCACTGTAGCTGTGTCCTTAAAAGGGCCCGCAGAGTGAAACCGGTGGTCAAGGTGAAGGTTGGAGGCCTCTACTTTAAAAGTATATGCCTTCTTTGTTTCAAAATCTAATGGCTGTAGTGAGGAAAAAGTGAGGTGGTACATTTACACAGGATGAGACAGAAATGGTGAACACGGCTTCTTCAGAGTAATCTGCAAATGAGCACCAATTTCACTGGCTTCGAATTTTCAATTTCTCTTTATAATTAGTGGGTAAGGGAAGTATGATAAACCATTTAAGAAAATAATTACTGGCTTATAGAGGTTTCCGGGTAACTTTTAAAGATAATTCATTGCATACATTAAAATCTCATACTACACATGCCTACATACATGCCAGGTAGGGCTTATTCATTTTATATGAGCAAAGTTAAAATATTAGAACAAATGTAAAGGAAGCATATCCTGTTCTTATCCAACACTGACATCTAGTGGAATTAAGCAATAGTAAAAAAGTGAGCAAAAATGAAATTGGACACTAGATTTTTACCTGTAAATTTGGTATAAGAAATATGGATTTTGGGGGGAGTGGACTACTTTTTTTTTTTGACAATAATGCCATTTTATATTAAATACTTTTGAATGTCTAGGTCTTTTCACTAAAAATGGTCTATATTTAAAAGCACACACAGTGGTAATTATCAAAAGAGTTTTGGTTTTTTGTGTTTCTGAAACTGTATATAAAATTAGTGGACACTGTCATGCCTCATCAGGATACATTACCAAGAATTATGGCTTTAAGAATATATGATCACATTAAAGAGGCCACGAAACACAATATAGGAATTCATTTCCCTTGGAGTCACTGATGCTTAATTTTAGCTTATTACTGCTTACATTCACACTCACTGTTAATATTAGTTTTGTCTTCCCAGTAACTGAAAATATTATATTCCAGAAATAAGGTGCTTCTGGGATGCTTTGTTTATGTGATAAATTTAAGGTCAATGGCTGGCTTCTAATCACCTAGGAAAAACTAAGACAACATAAATTTAACATTAACATAATGACTTTCTGGGACCTTTAAAAGTTTCTGTTTCTTAAAGTAATTCCCTCTAGCGTGACTCCAATGACTTGCTAATGGCTGTGTCAACACCTGTTCCTTCACTTAGTGCACCTGGGGAAATAAAGGAGGCATATCTTTTTCTCTTTTAAAAATGTAATTGCTCACATGCTCTCACTCATAACTGGGAGCTGAATCCATGAATAAGCAAATGAACAATACAGAGAGACAGAGAGGAAGAAAGAAAGAAACAACAATCACAGTAATATGTTGAACTTTTAAAAAACTAGAAGTGGAAAGGGAAGGGGAGGAGGAGAGGGAGGGGCTCATGAGGAATTGGTCAATGGACAAAAAGAACAATTGGATATTGTAATGATGAATAAGCTAGCTAGACTGATCTAACCACCACACACTGTACACAATTATTAAAAATCAATGTTGTACCCCACACATATGTATGATAAGAAATAAAAATAAATAAAGTAAATAAATAATTAAAGATGTGATTGCCGCTTTATGCATTTTCTCTGAGGAGGGAAAAAGAAAAAATAATCACTATGAAATCCTCAAAAACTCTCACAATTCCACAGACTTTATTCCAGCAAAAGAGTAATACCTCTTAGATATGACATCGTCTCTTTTAGAATATTTTTCATTCAGGAGGACCAACATTTATTTTCCCTGTAATTATTCCCCTTATTTTATGTAATTAATCACGTTTTTATTCATATTTTATTTGCTTTGTACTTAATGCTTTCTTTGATTTTCTATACTTTTATTAACCCATATTTGTTAACACATAATATTGATTTTCTTCAATTTACATCCCTTTCCTGTTAGAAGTTTTGATTTTTTTAAAATCAATATAAGTAAAGAATGGATACAAAATACTCCGTGGTTGATAATATGGCCATTTGTCACATGAACAGAAATGAGACATGTAGGAAAAGAGAGGGATAGTTCCACGATGCTCTTTTGCTCAGCCTAACGCTTGACTACTGTGTTTTGTGAATGGAGTCAGACTCAAGAAAGCCAACCACCTGCCCAAACAATGGCAAAAATAAGAAAACTATGACAAAATAAGAAAATGCTACAATTGCTGAGAATGTTTAGCTTGGAATGAAGAATACCAACATAAGAGAGGATGCACATTTTCAAGTATTTAAAAGGTTATGATGTTGAATATTAATTAGGCTTATTCTATAAGTTTCAGAGAGAAGAATTAACAATAATCAAACTTATTAAAAGAGTTTATTTAGGTTTGAAAAAGGAAGAAACAATTTTTAAATAATACACATATATGGATGGTTTATGTGGTAGCAAGGTCTGAAATACATCCCAGGAGGGCAGAAAGGTGCAAAGACAAGTTACAGCTTGCTTTCTCTCTACATTCAACAAGTTAAAGAATAGCAGCATCTAACTTAATGCATAAATTTGAAGAATTGCCAATTTTCCCATAACTGGATGTGGTTAGAGAAGTCAAATGTGTAGGAGGACATGGCAGAGAAAGAATGAGGTATGAGGTAGAAGGGTGCACTAGCTAATTCCAATTTAAAACATATAAAAATATATTTTCTGCTTGGGTAAATTGTAAATGTTCTTTGAATGTTAAACAATAGATTTTTTCTGTGACAGTGATCCTTATGACTACCCCGAATTTATTACCTTAAGGGTACTTTCACCAAGAAAGCATGTTGAGCTGTCCCAGCTCAATACTGCTCCCCTTTTTTTGGCCCAGAATTCACTTCTATCTTAGAATATAGATGTTAGTACCAATTGTTTCTCATTTCACTCTCTACTTTCTCCTAGATGTCGAAATGCATCTGATTATCTGTGATTAGGCAAATTCTTTTTAGATAAGCTCTTAATTTTATCCCCCCCCCCCCATTAATTATATACTACAGCTATCTGGATGAACTTGACTCCCTACTAAGGCCATTTCAAGCCAGAAATGAGAGACGAATTATGAAACCTTTTCTTTTCTTTCTTTTTTGCTTTCTTTCTTTCCTTTCTTTTTTGCTTTCTTTCTTTCTTTTTCTTTTTTTTTAAGAGATCAGACATTTTCTATGCTTCTTAAGAACTCCTGAACTATCACAGCAGGAAAATATTTGGAATGCAGAAAGATAGAGCATAAGATGAAAAAATCTTTCTGTAAGTACAGATTTTTTGGAACTGAAAACTTACATCCTGCAGTGATCAGAGAACTGGAGAAACCTGTAAGAGAAATGCCACAATAATATTCTAGGTGGACTTACTTCTTCATGACCTTGACCCACAGGCAATCCCACTTTACAAAAAGATGATTCCACTTTATAAAATGGTATAGCTCAGAAAAAGCAAAGAGAATCAACAGTGATCTCTCTCTGGTCAACTTTACCCACCACATCTGACTAACCACCTTCCACTTTTCTGAGGAATAAACTTTAACTTTATAATCAATAAAAATTCTAGCACTGAAATAAGTATAGAATGAATAGGATTTTTTTAATTGTTAGAAAAGGGATCATATTCTATGATATAAATACATTACTATAAAATTGAACTAATTTAGCTCTTACACAATATATATTGCTTGGGCCCCATTCAATTTTATGAACCTTTCTAGAAGGGTAAGAAAATGACTGACTAAAGAGAATTTAGGTGGGCAGCTCCTTGCTCATTAGGGTGTTTATATAAAGAAAAATTATTGAGACTAGAATTTTCAGGAAACAATTCACGTTGTAGGGAGTTGTGCAGTAAAAAAAAAAAAAAAACTGTGGAGAAAGGAAATGTGATGTATTTAATTTTGCTCTGGAGTATAAAGGGAAGAATTAGGCAAAATACCACCTTTCTGCTTCTTTGTTTTTAACCACTTTCTCTTATTTCGCTGAAGTCCAGATCACAAAAAAAAAAAAAAAAAAAAAAAAGGTAAAACCTTTAACAGCGTGATGGAAACAAAACAGAAAAAAAAAAAAAAAAAAAAAAAAAAAAAAACTAGATAAAATATTAAGTGCCAAAAGATTTTCTCATTTCAAAGGGGGATAAGCAATTTTTGGCATAAAATATAAGAGGATAAGTCCTTGGTCTCTTCCAGGCCTCATCATGCTTCCAGATAATGTTTAGTGAAAATGGATATCTGCAGTTGTAGATCTTTTGAGAAATTTTAAAAACTGCAGCTGTGGCAGGCAGAATTTTAAGATGCCCCCAGAAGTCTTTGTCCCCAAAACCCACACCCTTTATGAAATAACTATGTCCTTGAGTGTGTGAGGGGCCTGTAAATTGAATGACATATCACTTCTATAAACTTAAGTTTTTTAGAAAAGTAAATGATGCATATATAATTAAGGTCCAATCACTTGGCATGGAGTTAATTAAGAGAGATCTTACTTGAGGGGTCTTACCTAATCAGGTGAGCCTTTAAAAGAAAGAAGAGATGCAGATAATTTCTGACTGATCTTGAAGAAGTGCACTTGTAAGCATAAGAGCCCATGCAGCAAGTGCCTAAGGGGTGCCTGTAGACACTGAGACCTAATCTTGGCCAAGAGCTAAGAAAAAAATAGAGACCTCAGTTATGAAGCCACTAGGAAATAAATTCTGCCAGCAACCACTATGCTTGGAAAAAGACTCCAAGCCTCAGGTCAGATAGCAGCCCCAATTCACACCTTGATTTCACCCCAAAAGACCTTAAGCAAGGGACCCAGATATATCATATTTTGAACCACAGAAGCTGTAGTTTTGTCCCTCTTTATATTTTACTGTTTTATATTGCTTCTATTTTTATGAAGAACATGTGTCATTTTCACCAAAACAGTAAAGCCATCACTTTAAAACATAAAAATAAAAATAAAAAGTGAGTATGCTTTAGTAATGACTCTACTCTCTCTACCATCTAGCAGGTTTTATGGTAAACGGAAAAGAAAATTGTCAATGAACCCAAATGATCAAAGGATGTAAGTTTATTGGAAATAAACTTGATCCTTTTTAAGACAAGTAGTTAGAAAACAGATTTATACCAGGCTGAACCGTGATGAAAAGACCATGAACAAGCTCTTATAAAGTAGGTTTATTACACCAGGCTGAACAATAAAGATAA